CATCGCTGCCGGCCATAAGAAGTTTGTTTTGAAGTTGTCAGATTTGGGACGTCTGCGCGCGCTGGGTGGCGTTTTATTTCACGCTCCTGGATCCGATATAAGCCTCTCGGGGTAAAATAAATATTTTGATGGAGATGGGAAATCTTCTTCCTGGTATGTTGAAGTACCAAAAGTTTGCTTCCAATCATTTAATTAAACAATGTTAGTTTTTGGGAATAAATAAGAATTATTCTCTAATTTTTAGTTACCGATCTGTCGTTACTATATTTAACTTTGACAAACCGGATCTTCTCGCCGTTCTTTTTCCTGTTTGCAATTGCGGATCTTGATCTGGCCGCCTTCCAACGGACCAGAGCGGAGAAAAAAATTGTTCTGCTCCCTATTTTGACGGAGAAGACGTTCGTGGACGGTGACGTGCGGGGGGGTAGCGGTGGATGGTGAACTGATCTCATTGACTAACATGACCAGAACTCGCCCTGACGTACGTGAGCGGGGCGGAGACGGGTGATGTGGAATCTGGGGGTCAGTTTTAGAAGCACTGAAACTGGAGCTGCAGTTCAGAGTTGAGGTCCAGCTGGAAATGAACCGGTTTCTGGAACGGTGAAGGCGCCGGACGTCCCAGAAGGTTTGCCTTTGTAGAAGCAGTTTTATTGTCTCATATCAGATCAGAATCAGAATATATCCTACAACACGGCCCTATACTTACTTAGCAACAAACAGTACATGTTGAAGTTCAAGTATGAGTCTTAGCAATAATAAAGTCCCTAATGCCTTATTCGTACGCAATTAGATGATATATGAGAAGGTTTGGCATAGGGTTCTCAAAAGTATCGAAACTCAAAAAAGTATCGATACTGAAAAGTTGTATCCGGATACAATACTCTTTTTTTAAAAGTATCGATATAGTGCCGTCACCAGTGGCACCTAAGCAGTCATTCATCTAAAGTGCAGAATAGAGGATAATGCACTTTCAGAACACTGTGTGATTGAATAATTCTTCGCACTTTTCAGTTTCAGACTTTTTTTTTTTGTAAGAACTGCAGCTGCTGAAAATTATTTTTGTTTCTTAACCGGTTTGGCTAGTTTCATTGTTATGTGTGCAAAGCATAGCCAAGGAAGGAACACTTAATTTTAATTTTATAAGTTTTTTATCAAACTTGCTTAATATTGTGCACAGCATACAACCTTTACTGTATTTTATTTATTAATGAAAATATTTCTGTAGAATTTTGGATTCTTTTTTTTTATCCTTGTGGTATCGAAAATGGTATTGAGTATCGAATATTTTCCTTAGTATCGGTATCGAGTTGAAAAGTTTAGTATCGTGACAACCCTAGTTTGGCATAAACAGAGAACATCTGTATAAACATTCTTTGAGGGTCGGAGTGACTCTGACGCAGACCAGCCCACGTGAATTCCAGTAAGCTTTCGACATGATATTCCTGTGCATGTGCAGTCACGTAATGCCATGTGGACTGAAGGTTGGGGGATAACAGAATTTTTGACGATGCGTTGCTGGATGTATGAAGTGTTTAAGACAGCTGTATGAATTTGGTTTTGTAATTAAATGTGTCCCCCCTCCGGATGATAAAATGGTGTGAATCGTGGCCTTCTTTCTGTCATAAGGGATTTCTACCAATGAGCTTCCATACCTTGTAGAGCAGAACAACCTGCTGGAGTCCAACTGTTCCAGGCGGTTCTGATGTCACTGGGTCTGAACCGACACACAATTAGTTCTGAGTTAAACCCGTCCTCTTCCTCTCAGACGAAGGGCGCTCTGCCGGCGGGAACCATCCTGAAGCTGGTGACCTCAGCAGATGGGAAGCAGACGGCCATCCTGAGCACGGCGCAGGCCGGCTCCACCGCCAACAAACCCACCATCATCAAGACCATCCCACTATCGGCTCTGCAGGGAGCAGCAGGTACGGTGCACGCCTGAGCAGCTGCGGTTCTGAACCAAAGCAGAGTACTCACTGAAGCTCCGCCCACTGCAGGTGGGAACAGTCCGATTACCATCCTGACCACCAAGGTGGGAACCGCGGGAACGGAGAGGTTGATCAGTGCCGTCCCCAGGATGTCTGCGGGCGTCCAGCAGGGCGTCACACAGGTAGGCTACGGCTGGGTGGCGCACAGAGGCCCGCTGAAGGCAACATGGGGCATCCCAACATGTCCGCCCCTCTCTGCGTTATCAGGTGGTGTTAAAAGGAGCGCCGGGGATGGGCGGTACCATCCTCAGAACCGTCCCCATGAGCGGACTGAGACTGGTGTCTCCAGCACCCGGCGGAAGCAGCCCTGCTGTCACCACGCTGGTCATGAAGGGGACCTCAGGTAAACAATTGGCGTTCAGGTGAGGCGTATGTCGTCGTGTGTCAGCTGACCATGAAGGTCCGCTTCCCGCCTGCAGGGGTCGCCAGTCTGAGCACAGCCGCAGGAAGCATCTCCACTGCCAACGCCTCCTTGACCACACCCATCACTACTCTGACGTCGCTGGCCAGCCAGGTTACCACAGCAACCGCCCCCACCTCAGGACCCAGACAGGTACCACAGTAGAGAAAAACAAAAAGCACGTCATCGACTCAACGGGCTCCAAGTTCAGAGTCTGACCTCTTTGGTCCAGCCTCTGGTTCTGCAGTAGATGGCTTCAAGTGATCAGAAGCGTTTCCTGTTTCCTTTCTGCAGGTGACTCTGATCACAACGCCAAGCGGTGCCGAGCCCCAACCGCTGGTCCAGGACCTGCCCGTCTCCATCATGGCCTCTCCGACGTCAGAGGAAACGGGGAATACTACAGGAAGCACCACGACCACCAACGCTGAGGGAGACGCAGCCACAGGTACGCAGCTGGTTCTAAAGCACGAACCTGAAGAACACCTGCAGAACTCAGGTAGTCAGAACTGATCAGGTGTTTGTGCAACAGTGACTCTGGTCTGCTCCAACCCACCGTGCGAGACCCACGAGACCGGAACCACCAACACCGCCACCACAGCTGGAGCTGGAGGACTCCGACAGGTGAGGGAACGTCTGTCAGTGAAGGTGGATGACGTTCTGTGATGGGTACAGGTGTGTTAATGACCTGTTTGTGTTACAGGTGTGCTCCAACCCACCATGTGAGACCCACGAGACCGGAACCACCAACACCGCCACCACAGCTGGAGCAGGAGGACTCCGACAGGTGAGGGAACGTCTGTCAGTGAAGGTGGATGACGTTCTGTGATGGGTACAGGTGTGTTAATGACCTGTTTGTGTTACAGGTGTGCTCCAACCCACCGTGCGAGACCCACGAGACCGGAACCACCAACACCGCCACCACAGCCACAGGTAACAGTCCACACCTGCTCTTGATTTTTGGAAGAACCAAACGTGTTGTGACATCGCTTCCTCTCCACTTGATGTGCAGCTCAACAGAGTGGAGAAACTCCGCAAGGAGACTCCACAGACTCCGCCCCCTCATCTGATCCCGCCTCTGCTGTCAGTCACAGCACAGCATTAACTACCGTAACGCATGCAACGCCGGCCCCGGGTCCAGCAGTACCGGTATGTCTGGGTCCGGTAGACGTTCTTCAGAGACTCTAGGTGTGGAGAGCTGGTCGCTCTGATGGTGTTTTTCTCACCAGGAAATCTCCTCATTGGTTGGAGCTGAGAGGATGGAGACCTCAGAGACGCTCATCATGGTGCCACGAGAAGAGGAGGAGCCAACACTGACAGACAGCCAATCGGGGGGCGTGGTGTCATCGGGGGCGTCGTTGTTACAGGTTCAGGTGAATGTTGGCGCCTCATCGGGCCAGTTAACACACAAACACACACTAATACCAGGCTCCGCCCCCTTGTTCTCAGATGGCCTCCTCGGATGAAGGTCTTCCTCAGCAACTGATGTCATCAGAGGGGGACGGAGGTGAGGATGTCTCCAGGACGATGACCCTTACGTTGACGCCAGGACTGGTCCAAGATCAGCTGGCAGTTACTATGGCGACCGGCGAAGGAGCCTCGCAGGTGGCGCTGCAAGCGGCTGGGCCCGTCGGTGAGACGCTGGGAGGACGGTGAGGTCACTGCTTCTGGCAGCGCTCTCTCTGAACGTGTGCTCCTGTTTCTGTAGGTGAGGCTAACCAACCGAGCGATCAGCCGTTCCGGATCGTTCTGACGCCTCAGGAACTGGCGGCGCTGGTCCAGCAGCAGCAGGAAGCAGAGCCAGAGCCCAGCAGCGTTCCCACAGGTAGAGTTTCACAGGAATTTATTACATAAACTGATCAGGTGGAACATGAAACCTGCTTGGTTCTGATTCTGTTTCTGTGTGAACGTGTTGCAGAGGGCCTCGCTCCGGCCGACAGCCTGAACGACCCGAGCGCAGAGAGCCACGGACACCAGCTGCCCACCTCAGCCGTGATCAGCGCCGTCGCTCGATTGGCCAGCACGTTTAGCCCCACCCCCACGATGGCGGAGGGCCAGGCGAAGAGCACAGCTGTCACCACGCCCATGGAGACGTCCAATGGCATTAGGGAACCTCCAATTGTGAGATGATTGGTGGAATTTAGAGAATTTCTCAACACCATAGACCAGTCTGCCCAGTTTGTTTCCTCCATCAGTTTGTCAACATCAGGAGTTTTAAAAGGAAGATTTACTAAATAGACCAATATGCTTAAGCTAGCCAAGAACTCACAAGCTAGACATGCTTAAACTCTGCTAAAGTAATCCTGAAGGTTATTAAAAAGTGGTCAGAGAGGACAGGATTGTGAGGAAATCCTGTTATTTCTTCACATTCTATGCCGTATGTCAGCACAAGATCCAAAGTATGAAGATGAGAATGCGTGGGACTATTCACATTTTGAACAAAGCCAATAGTGTCTAAGATAGCATTAAAGGCTAATTGGAAAGATGCATCTTCTGAGTTCAGACCTGCTGACTCTCAGTACGTTATCACGTGTCTAATAACACCCTAACGACACGGAGAACATGCCAACTACATGCCAGTCATATCTCCACTTTAATGCTGCAGGAACAGCGAGTCAGGACAGCGCCGAAGGAGAACCCGTGGTTTGACGTCGGCATCATGAAGGTCACCAACGCTGTGGTAACACATTACTACGTCCCCTACGACGACGGCGCGGTCGAGGTGAGGGTGCCGGCACTCGGCGTACAGGTGGAGCTGCTGCGGCGCTGTGGACTCACCGTTTGTTCTGTACCTGCAGGATTACGCGACTTCGGTGCCAGATTATAGTCAGATGAGGCGGGTGGAGCTGCAGCCTGGCACTGCCTATAAGTTCCGGGTCGCAGGGATCAACATCTGCGGCCGCGGCGCCTTCTCCGAGGTGTCGGCGTTTAAAACCTGCCTCCCTGGATTCCCTGGAGCGCCGTGCGCCATTAAGATAAGCAAGGTGAGTTACGCCTGTCGCCATGGAAACATGTTTCCCCGCCAGAAGGGGGCGTCCTGACGACATCTGTCTCCTCAGAACCTGGACGGGGCCCAGCTGACCTGGGAGCCCCCGGCCGTCACCGCGGGAACCATCACAGAGTACTCGGTGTACCTGGCCATCCAGTCCAGCCAGGCCAAGTCGCCTGCTTCCGGCCCGGCCCAGCTGGCCTTCATGAGGGTGTACTGTGGCTCGGACCCGCGCTGCCTGGTTCAGGCATCCAGCCTGGCCAACGCCCACATCGACTACACCACCAAGCCCGCCGTCATCTTCCGCATCGCCGCTCGGAACCAGAAGGGCTACGGGCCGGCCACGCAGGTCCGATGGCTACAAGGTCAGAACCGCAGCCTGCAGCTCGGGGGGGATCGGAGTTCTGCCGCGGTATGATCATGTTTTCTGTTTTGTGTTGCCATAGAAACCAGCAAGGACTCCAAAGCAGCGTCCAAGAGAAGCGGACCTTCTCAGGACATGTAGGAACCGGCAGACGATACCAGAATCCCACCAGACACAGAAACTACCAGAACGTTCTGGTTTCATTTTGACCAGATCGATGCAAGGCGGCGCCGATGGTCGGAACCCAACCAGTTCTGCGATGATCCAGTTGGTTCTTAAAACACGACAAACTGACGGTTCTAAAGGTTCTGAATGAACGTGGCTATCGAGGACCGACCCAACTCCAGGTTCAGGTTCTGAGCTGGTCAGAGGCAGAGCGGTTCTGGTCTGTTTGGGTTCCTGATTTTAAACGATGAGAACAGAAGCTGAATATTCCTGAATGTTGGACTGTTGTTCCGTTGATCCGTTCCCTTCAGAACTCACAGAATCCGGAGCTGAGGTGGGCGGGGCTAAAGGACAACAGGAGCGTTGAGGCTCAGTCTGCTGGGTCAGAACTCTGGCTGTGGTTTGAGTTCTGGTGTTTAGTGGGCGGAGCCTCAGATGGTTGGGATGCCTTCAATATGGGGAGGGACTTAGAGGGGGGGCTTCAATGTGGGCGGGGCGATGATGTAAATTTTCATTTTTTTGTTTTTTTTTACTTGATTAAATAAAAGTTTGATGTTTTCTTTGTTGATGATGGAGCGCTCTCATTGGTCCGTTTGTCCTGTTTGTTAATATTCTCTGGAACAATAAAGGTTTTTAGTGCATTTTTATACTGGCTGTTCAGAGTCGGATCATGAAACCTGTCCAGGGATCAGTGGGCGTGGCCTATTTTCGACAGCAGGTTCACCCTGACATATCCCTGCTCCCTTCAGTTAATGGAGCTACAGAGGGTTCAGGTGTGTCCACTGGTGGCATGGCGGGCCGGGCCTCCGGGTTCATGGGAAGGATTCTCTGTTGACGACGTTTAGAGGTCCGATTTATTCTCTGAAAACGGGAATCTCACCCCAATGGAAACGTCCCTGCAATATCAAACCAAAGGATAATTGATCTTTGCAATTAGTGACCGATAATCGGTCAAAACATTAAAGAAGCATTAATCCGTTAACTTGTCCGGATCTCTGGGTCTTTTCCAGTTAATGTTCTTTAACATTTAAAAGTTAAATTGAAGAAAAAGATGACAAGAATCGATTTATACAAAGTGAAGAAAAGGTCAAATCTGTTTTTTCCAGCCGTTTTGGTCGCAGGCGGATTGTTCAAAATCTAAAACTTTATCGATCACATTTGGAAGCCGCTTAGAGCTTCAAAGCAAAACATAAAAAATAACCCAAACTTATTTGCTCCAATATTGACTAACTGGTGGTGGTGGTGTGGGTTGGGGGTGGTGTTGGCTGTGCCGCGGCCCCCCCCCGGGCCGTTTTTTTTTTTTTTTTACAGTGTCCTTTCTGGCAATGTGGCAATAAGCATAATTGTCTTGATGCCAAAAAACAGATTTTACTTTTTACAAGTGTAGCAGTACGGCTATCACCATAGCGTTCCACTTGATTTATGCAGATAAACAGCTTTATTATAATTATACAGGAAGTTTTACAGATTATATGGACACTGCAATGAAAGCAGAACAGGAAAGGAAAATATGAAAAAAGGAGATGAAAGAAAGAGAAGATAAAAGGGAGATAATGATAAAACATTTTCAGTCTGCTTCATCACCTGCAGAGCACCGAGTCCAGCGCCAGGAGACCCAAAGCCCCAGGGACCCCAAGAGCAAAGGCACCCAGGAGGGACCAACCCAGGAAATCCGACCCCCACCAAGGGTGGAGGAGAGACAGCCCCGAGGAAAACCCCAGACACCGCAACGCTGGAGCCCCCGGGACCCGCAGGGACGAGTCCGCGGGCTCTGCCGACAGTCAGCCACCCCGAAGTGGAACCAGCCCCAGGGACCTGAGGCCCCAGGGGGAGCCCCAACCAGGCCTTGGGGGGGCAGGCCCCGTGGAGCAGTAGCCACCTGGGCATCCACCCCCAAACCCCGAGCTCCACCAGTGCAGCAGAGGGAAGGCAGGACGGGGGGTAATGGACTCCACACTGAGCGGAGAGGGGGCAGTTCAGACCCCAACCTGACAAGATAAATAAAAAAAGAAAAATCTTTCTGATTTCTACAGGCAGGTTTACAACAATAGTAGATTAAAACCCTGAGATTATAGCTTTTAGTCCAACTTTTAATCTGTTTCTGGTTATTTTTTCCACTATGAAAAGTATCATCTCCAGAAATAAAGACTATAAACGATTTTTTTTTTAAATAATTAAAATTATTGTTTTATTAAATTGACAGAGCAACTTTCAGCTAAAACTGAGGTGATATTCTAAGCTTCAAACATGATAAGGTTTTATTTCTCAGTAATGAAATTAAAAATAAAATAAATAACATTTATTTAATACATCATTAAACAAAGGTACCATAATTAAACGTTTTCTATTTTTATTTTTTATTAATTTTTTTTTTTTTAAATTAAAATAATAAATAAAACAAATTCTTTCCCTTTTTCATGCCGTTAATTTAATTATTTAATGGGACATTTATTTATTTTCTATCTTTTTCATGTTAATATTAATGACTTGATTAAAAAAAATGCGTATCACAGGAAAAAATAAAAAATTATTTATTTCCTTTGACATTTTATCTGTTGATTTTATGAACGGTCCATTTAATGTTGTCCCCTCTGGGCCTCCATAGTTCGTATAGAAGGTGACCGGTCCGGGTCAACCAGGGCGGTCGGTACCGAAACACGCGAAGAAGAAAAAAGGAACCTGCTGCGCTCACGTGCGCGCGCATGGGCGAGGCGTGTGCTGGTCCGCGGCGGGAGCGCGCGCCGTGTTGCTGATGCTGCGGATGATGAAGAGGAGGACGATGAAGAGCGGAACCAGCTGATCCACCAGAACTCTGAGGTTCTGCTGTCTGGACCGGGCTGCAGACCACGTGACAGAGCCGTTACCCGCGAGCCCAGGTAGGAACCGGAACCGAACTCCCTCCGAAAGTCTGCGGGTTGATGCTGCGCGGCGCGCGGGAGCCGAGCAGCGCGAGCCTGATTGTTTGTTTGGGAAACACCGCTGGGTTCGGTTCAGAACCGGAACCGAACCAGGATGCTGGATCTGAGTCCGAAAAGCCCAGAGAACCAGGCAGGTTCGGATAGAAATCCGGTTCGGTGGATAATTTGGATCCAACTGCATGAAGAGGCTACAGGTACCAGAACGGAACCAGTCATTCCTGCTGGGGGAGGACTGGGAGGACTGGGAGGACTGGGTTCTGCTGGACCCACGTGACCCACCAGCTCTCCTGTTGCCATGTGGAGCAGCTGATTGATGTAAACATCTCAGCCAGAGGCAGACAGCCAATCAGAGAGCAGCCCTGGGGTCAGGGCAGACCAAAGAGGGGCCCCCGGGGGCCCCATAGCTCAGGTCTTTGGTGTCCCTGACACACATGGTTGTGTTATTGGAAAGGTGCCTGACTGACGCCATGGCAACAGTCACATGACCTTGCTCCACATGACCTTTTCTCCAGGTTCTGTTCTGACAGCGAACTGGTTCTGCTGGATCCACCAAACCGTCCCAGAGGAAAATGGTGGAAGATCTCAGGAACAGAGGAACCGCCGTGGATCCAGATGGTCTGTGCGCCACGCTGCCCCCACATGGTCGCTGGCGGAATGACAGACGGAACCTTCAGGGGAAATGAGCTCTGAGATGTTGATGATGCTGCGATGTTCTAGCAGGGGTTCTGGTGCTGAAGCTGTTGAGAAATGGGTCAAGCGCCCCCTGCTGGTGACGGTCCTTTTAGTTGAAACCAGTTCTCCAGTCCTGCCAACCGTGTCCTCCATCTGCCAGCAGACCTGAAGACCCGCCTCAGGTCGCTGCTCAGCTGAGCCCGGTTGTTAAGGAGATGGTTCTGGTTGGGGGTGGACAGAACACATGCTGTCAGAAGAGCCAAAGAAGTTCTACAGAACCTGGCCTGACTTCTTAAGACTCGGCGGAGACAGACATCCTTTGGACCTCAGGCCCCGAGGCGTTGAAGAACCCTACTGGGTTTAGATTCTGGGATAACGGGTCTGTAGACATTTCCTGTCCGATGCTCCGATCCAAAAACCAGAGAGATTCATCCAAGCTAGGAATACTGAAGTCCACGGTGATGGGAGGGGACGCCGGGAATCGGAACCAGACCCAGACCTGGACCTGGACCCACGCTTAGGCCAAAGGTCAACGAGACGTCCAGACTGCATCATCATCAACATTCCTCCTCCTCTTCTCCAAACGCTCAGGGCAGAAGTCTGCTGGGACCTTCCCTGATGAACAGAGGTCCGAGAGGCCTGGGAGGTCCAGGAAGTCCGAGAGGTCCAGGAAGTCCGAGAGGTCCAGGAGGTCCGGATGGTCCGGAAGGTCTGGGAGGTCCGAGAGGTCCGTGAGGTCTGGATGGTCTGGGAGGTTCCAGAAGTCCAAGGTTCAATCAGGCTCATTGGTGGGAAGGTTCCAGGAACCATAGCAACCGGCTGCTGCTCTTTAGGTGCCATGTTGACGCTCCTGATGAACCTCTCTCAGAGCTGCAGCAGTTTCCGTTTCCATTAGCAACAAATGATGTCATCAAATCTGAACCGTCTGATTGGTCTTCTAACATGTGACCTCTTCAGCTCCGCCTCTGATCTAACCTCATTTGCGTCGGGTCGGTTCATCCCTCCCTGGTTCCACGTGGCGCCAGGAATGAATGAATGACCCGGTTCTGACATCGGACTGAACCTGGGGGATTCATAGAACCGGGACGTTTTGGGCCAACCATGTGTTCTGCTGGTCCAAGAACCCATGAGGTTCCTGCAGTCAGCTGTAATACCGGATCCCCACCAGCAGGGGTCACTCCGGCCCAAACCGGGCCCATGTAAAAAATAAATAAAACCGAGCAGAATCTCTGGTCCTGATGGACCTGTCTTAGACCAGGATCTGGTTCTGTGTCTTTCAGATCCGATTCATCAGTTCTGATCTGGTTCTGGTCTCGGTCCGGGATGTTCAGAGAAAATCAGGTTCTGGTCCAGGTTCTCCGTGAAGTGAAGAACCAGAACCACGGAGGTCTGGGTCGGACACGTCCGGATGTTCTGCAGCTACAGTCCGTGGTTCTGAAATTCCCATTTCAGGGCCTGTTTGCATCAGGATGGGTCAACAGAACCGACCCGGCGCCTGATAAACGGGTCCATTTTAAATACATGCCCGTACCATGATACCAGAGCCGCCGTGCTCAGGCCCGGTCGGACCGTATGTGGCTCCTGGACTCTAACGGAACAATCCTGGTTCTGTTTCTGGTTCCTCTTCTGCTCGTTGTGTTTTCCTCTGTTGGACCTCCAGAACCGGACCTACCATCATGACTGCCGGCGGTTCTCGGTTCCTCTGCTGTGAATTATTTACCACCTAGAACCGTTTTTTCCATCAGAACCAGCAGCTGGACGGGGGGGCTACATTTGGACCTGAACAGAACCGGTCCAACAGGTCCAGATAAGCTGGTTCTGCTGTGAGGTCCGGCTGATCAGCTGCCGCAGTGCCTCTGAGCCTGGCGGTTCTGTCTGTGATGGATGTAGGTCAGCCTGA